GACGGTCTCCTGATCGGATCACCGAGGCCAGCACTTGGCCTGCCTACGTTAGTCCTGTGGAGATGTCTAGCGTTGTGCTCTCTGTTCACCTTCCCCCTTGGTAAACGGACCCCATTTTTCACTGGGGTAACCCTCCATCTCCCTGCCTTGCTCATGTCCCATGGCTGCAGTGGGCGTCACTCCACGGCCCTCCTGAGCTTCAAAGGTGGACGAGGGCCCTACGCTGCTCTGGTCGCAGTGGACCTCAGGAGTTTTGTTGGGGCTTGGAGGACACAGGCGCTCCTCCCCCCATAGGAAAGTCTGGGTTCCTGGGAGTTGATGGCTGCCATTGTGGGGTCATGGGGCTAACCTACGAGGAAGAAAAAGCCAGTGTGGTCACGCAGGCCAACAACCCCTCTTTGTTCTCTCAGCTGGGTTTCTGTCCCTTGTAACTGAACACCTCCTCTCAGGCAGCTGCTGCTAAGTCAAGTCCAGATCTCTGACCCACTTAGGCCTGGGAAGCATGCTGCTTTGGCAGGAACCCAGCCTGTACACTGCGACTCAAACCGGCCATGGTGTTGGGGCCAGCAGATGCCATAGTGGTTACATCCCTGACTCCTGCATGGCCAACTGCAGGTTGGCTTGAAACTCACACTGGGCACATGTGCATGTGTGCCCAAGATCCCGGGAGGAAAATGGAAGACAAAGGATCGTGGCATGGCCATCCCCCTTGGGGGACGATTTCTCACTTCCCCTCTCACTCTCTCTCTCTCTCTGGCAAGTGCACACACTCTAAGGCAAACACTTCTTAAAACAACAATGACTAGGCCATGGTCCAGCTCCATAGCTTGGTCAGCTCACCCCTTCCTCCGGCCTTACACTTCCTCCTCCGACAGTGTCCCTTCTGCGACAGCTGGTAACACACCTGCATGCCTGTGCACATCTGCTCTACCTGCTCTGCACATGTGACACACGTGTCTCTCTCTCTCGTCTAATTGAAAGAAAGAGAATTAAAATTATTTTATTTAACTTTATTTATTGATTTACTTATTTCAATTTGACCAGAGAGAAACAGAGCAAGAGAGAGAGAGGGAAAGTGAGAGAGCAAGCCACCAGGACTTAGGGACGTGGAAAGCAATTGGACAGAACAATTCTATCAGTGTAGAATCCACCAATAACACTAACAATAATAAGGCCCAGCTGCAGCAGCACAGGCAGTAGGGCTCTGCTGCATGAGATCAATGCAGGAAGGCTCCAGGTTCACGTCCCAGGTCTGCCTCCACATGCTGGGTAAGGGGTGCATCTGGGACTTGTGCTGTGGTCAGCCATGTGGGAGCCCGGCATCCCTAACCACCATGCCACCTGCCAGCCCCATAAACTAGCTATTTTACATTTTCTCCAGTCCTTAAACAACCCTGCGAGGTGGCTATCATCATCCTCATTGCACAGATGAGAGTGAAGTTCAGAGATTTAAGGTGCTGGCTCAAAGTCATACAGAGAACCAGCAACAGAACAAGTCTATCTGGGGTCTCAACACTGCAGGCTTCACTTTGTCGTTCATCCACACTGCCTCGTTGGCCCTGTTGCCAGTCCCTCTTGATCCCTCCAGTCCCGTGTTCCTTCACATCACCCACTGAGGCTCATCCCTCCACAATCCAGCCTGCTCTCACTCCCTTCATACACCCGCCTTGTGCCTGTGTGTGTCCCAGCAGCCGGGCCCATTTCATGTTGGGCTTCTGGTCTCTTACCTAGAATGTCTTCATAGATGTTCTCCTCTGATAAAGTGCGTGTGAGCCCCAGCTTGGTCTGTGCATACCAGTCCACCCGGCTATTCTCAGAGGAAGACTGCAGCAAGTCTTCAAACTCATAGGACTTCCTGGGTTGTGCGAGATGGGAGGAGAAAACCAAGAACGGGAATCCAGTTATCTGGCTCAGAGAATACACATATGCAAAACAATTTTTTCCTTGGAAAAACTTCTACTACTGAAATCAACTCTTTTTTGTGTGTGTCAAAGTGGTGAAAATTCAGAAAGAGGTGTGGCTTTTACTTTCAAGAATGTTTAAGGTATAATGCTAAATAAAAATGAGAGGAGAGGCAAGGGAACAGAGCTTCAGAAGAAGACCCCTTCATGGCTCCTGAGAACTAGTGATTTCAGGGGAATAAGAGAAATAAAGATTTTTCCACTGATAATTCAGCCTCCAGCCCTCCCAACCCAGGAGAGGGAAGGGAGCAGGCCTTCCCAGGAGAGGCAAGGGAGCAGGCCTTCCCAGGAGAGGCAAGGGAGCAGGCCTTCCCAGGAGAGGCAAGGGAGCAGGCCTTCCCAGGAGAGGCAAGGGAGCAGGCCTTCCCAGGAGAGGCAAGGGAGCAGGCCTTCCCAGGAGAGGCAAGGGAGCAGGCCTTCCCAGGAGAGGCAAGGGAGCAGGCCTTCCCAGGAGAGGCAAGGGAGCAGGCCTTCCCAGGAGAGGCAAGGGAGCAGGCCTCAGAAGAAGACACCTTTATGGCTCCTCAGAACTAGTGACTTTGCACGGCGCAAGTGAGCCGTTGGTTTTCTAATTTTTGCTTTTTTTTTTTATGAAGTATACGTGTGTGTGTGTGTGTGTGTGTGTGTGTGTGTGTGTGTATGTATACACCCTTGAGGGTGTAAGTACAGAAATTGAGAGTAAGGATTTAGAAAATTTTAAAACGTGTATTTATATCTCATTCTTATAAATAATCACATATGTAGAAAATTAAAAAGAAAGAAAATGAAATATGAGAGTATTTCAAGAGTTCAAGAAAGGGGCTGCAGGTGGCATGGTGCTTGGGGCACCAGACTCTCGCATGGCCACTTGAATCGTGGTTCAAGTCCTGGACCTGGCAGCTTGTTTTCTCACTTTCCCTCTCTCTCTAATGAGCACATGTACCCTATAGCAAAATAAAAACAATAATGATAAACAAAATTAAATAAGTAATTCTTTAAGTAAAAAAGAGTTCAAAGGAAAATGGCATTGAAGTTTATTTCCCTGCAAAAAAATTGAAATCCATGTACACTTTTATTTATTTATATTTTATTTATAGTTTTGTCATAGGCTTATGTACCGCCTATAAACTTGTTTTTTTTAAATATTTATTTATTTATTATTTATTTTTAATTTGACAAGAGGAGGAAGAGAGAGAGAGAGAGAGCAAGAGAAGCCGCCGCCACGTACGAGATTCAAACCATGGTTGGCCGTGTGGGAGTCCAGCACCCTAACCACCATGCCACCTACTGGCCCTTCTTTTTAGTTTTTATTATAGGACATGTGTACTTGCCAGAAAGAGACAGAGAGAGAGAGGAAAAGTAAGAAATCACCACCCGGGAGGGTGGCCACACTGCAATCCTCTCTTCCGTTCTCTTCTCGGGACTTTTGGGCACAGACACATGCACCCAGCGTGCTTTTGGCCATGTGGGAATCTAGCATCTTAGCAGGGCTCTCTGAACAAACTTTTTAAAAAAAGTTTATTTCTACTATGAGTGATAGAGACAGAGAGATAAAGAGAGTGGGAGAGAAACAGCACCCTCAATGGGGTGCCAATGCTGAGATAGACTCCTAGCTTCAGCCAGCCCTGGACCATAGGCACCCATCAGTCCGGCATCTTTAGGGGGGCCTTGGGTGCAAACCTGGAACTCCTGTGAGTTTGGACTCAGTGTACCACAGGGAACTAAACACTGGTGCACCATCTTTCCTCTCCCCTCTTGACCTGGCTACTGTATGAACTCCTTTTCTGAAAGGGCAACATAGGTCACAAGTGAGCTTCCTGTAAAATCCCAACACTTTCTTGGTCCTCTCTTTACTTGACACTGCCGGCTACCGTGTTCCCCGTGACACCCACCCTTCTAGAGTCTGAGGTGGCACTGCTCAAAGTGCAGCTGTGGACGGGGCTGGAGTGTGAACTGTGTGTCACCAGTCCTTGAGGACCTAAGTACAGAAATTGAGAGTAAGCATTTAGCAACCTTTAAAAAGTATATTTATTTCTTTCTTCCACGAGTGAGAGAGACACCCCCAACAGGGAGGTGTCCAGATGCAAACAAGCACCTGCCTACGTGGGTCAGCCTTGCAAAGTGGCACATCGTACTGCACTACTGGTCAACCCCAGGACTTAGGGACGTGGAAAGCAATTGGACAGAACAATTCTATCAGTGTAGAATCCACCAATAACACTAACAATAATAAGGCCCAGCTGCAGCAGCACAGGCAGTAGGGCTCTGCTGCATGAGATCAATGCAGGAAGGCTCCAGGTTCACGTCCCAGGTCTGCCTCCACATGCTGGGTAAGGGGTGCACCTGGGATCCCGCCTGGGGCAGGTCTGGAGGAAAATGGTGAAGTGAATAAACACCCTGTCAAAGGTATCTTCTCTCTCTCTCTTTTTCCCCCAAGCTTTCTCTAGAATATGTACATTCTCCATGGGGATGGACATGCCACAGTCCCTTCTCTTCCATTCTCCTCTCGAGATTTTAGGCATGCAAGCACATGCGCCCAGCAGATTTTCAAACCACTGGGTCTGGGACTAGAACCACATGGTAGGCCATATGGGATCCATCTCCTTTGACCACCATGCCACCTGGGTGGTCCACTTCCTCTCTCTTTATGAAGAGATAAATAAGTAAAACTTCAGGCAAACAATGACTAAAAACACCCCCCCCCCCAAAAAAAAAAAACCTTGGAGACTTGTATATTGTTCTTTTTTCATTTCACTTATCTGGTAATTCTTTATTTTACAAAGTATTGTTCGACAAAGACTAGAAGCACATACAAACATGGTTTGAGAAGTCTGGTATGGCATGGCCCTAACTCAACCTCTCCTCCCAGACTGGCTCTTTCTTTCTCTGCCTTAACTGGAAGGGCTCTTCCTCTTCCTCTCTTGGGGCATGGGCATTTCCCAAGACTTAGCACTCATTTTCCGTCTTTAGATTCTAAACTTTATTTATTTTTAGAAATACATGTTTATTTCATTTTATTTATCCATTCACTTATTAATTTGACCGGAGACACAAGAGAAAGAGAGAGAAAGAGGGAAAGTGAGAAAGCAAGCCACCAGGTATGGTCATCTCTTGGGAGTGTCCAGTGCCTTAACCACCACGCCATCTGCTGGTCCCGATTCTAAACTTTATTATCTCCAAATCTGAACTCCCCACCATTTATCTCAGCCCCACCCTCACTCCTTCAAGGGTTCATCTTGAGCTCAGCATTTAGGGCAGAGGCACAGAGAAAGGCCAAGCCAAACCTCCAGGCTGAGTCTGCACAGCCCGAAGTCAGGCCAAGAGGTGAAAGCTGTCACCCACACCCAGTGTGCCAGATGTACCAACAGAAGTCTGTCCCAAAAGGAAGGGCTACCACCCAAGCCCCTTTTTCCTCCCCTTGAGGTGTCCAACTGGGAGAGAATGGACCAAGGTCTGGGCTCCTGCAGATGGGGTATGGTGGGAAGCAGGTCTGCAGCTGTTCTCTCTGGGACTGGATGGCTGGGCTGTGACCCCCGACTCCAACATGTTCCGGTCCAGGGAGTCATTAACCCAAGGCAGCCGACTGGGGATCAAGGTGTGGGCTGCGGCCAGAGCAGCACGAAGAAACAGCTGGCAGCAGGCCAGAGCTCCGGGTCTGCCCTGGTGAGCTCACCAGGCTGTTAGCTCTGTCCTCTGCGCACACGCCCACGTGGCAGAAGATGCCAACTATTTGAGGAGACCATGGAGTCGTCGTTCAACAGTACTTATGCATACCCCTGACTGTTTCCTTGTACTGGCACGGTCAGTCCTCACGGCTGCCCTGTGAGGAATTCTGTCACACACATTTCACAAATGAGAAAGCGGGCGCGGAGTTTACACTGTGCGAGGCGCGCTGGGAGGGAGGGTGGAGCCAGAGTCTGAACCCAGGACATCTGCGTGGAGTCCGGTGTGCTGAACCAACACGAGGTGGTAAGCAAAGCATTCCCGCGATAGTGAGGGAGGAGGAACGCTGTGCTCTCAGGCCCTGGGTAAAAATGGATTGAGCTTTTGAGCCAGCAGGTAGAGTGGTGGTGAAGGTGCTAGACTCCCACACGGTTGAAACGGTTTGAGTCCGGGACCCAGCGGTTTCAAATTCACCGTGTGCGGACATGCCCACGATCCCGAGGGGAACGGAGGAGAATGGACTGCAGCATGGCCATTCCCTCTGGGGGTGATTTCTCACTTTCTCTATGTGTCTCCAAGTCCCCGTGGGTGGCTCACTTCTTCAGAGCATACACATCACAATCAAGAATCTAGATTGGGTCAGCAGGTGGCAGAGGGGTTAAGGCAGCTGGATCCCACGTGGCCAGCTGTGTTGTTCGAGTCCCGGACCTGGCAGCTTGAAAAACACACTGTGCATATGTGCAAGCCCGCCCAAAGTCCTGAGAGGAGAATGGAGGGGAAGGGATTGCGACCTGGTAATTCCGTGCAAGGAAAAATTTCTTACTTTCCCTCTTTCTCTCTCTGGCGAGCTCATGCTCCCTATAGCAAAACAAAATCTGGATTATCTTTTTTTTGTTTTGTTTTGTTTTTAATTGTGCCAGAGGAACGTACCCTTGCCAGAGAGATAGAGAGAGGAGGAAAGGGAGAAAGCACCTCCCAATGGGGCGTGGGCGATGCTGTAATTCTTCTCCACTTCTCCCTCCTTTCAGGATTTTGGGCACACACACTCGCCCTGTGTGTTTCTCAAGCCTCTGGGTACAAGACTTGAACTACAGGGTCAGCCATGTAGGATCGAGCTGCTGTAAGCACCAGACCAGAGAGTCAGCCCTGTTTGTGTTTATTTCTTCTATGAGAGAGAGAGAGAAAGAGAGAGAGATACCACAGGGTCTTCACACTGCAACCCACCCCAGCCTCAGCCAGCCAGGATTGTGGACATGTGTCTGTCTGTCTGTGCGCACTGTGTACAGGGAGGCCTTGCGACATTAGCTTGGGACCTTCCGACGCAGGCTGTGAGCATCACTGCGTGTCAGGTCACTGCTGCACCACTGCATCGCTTCTGCCTGAGGGATGCTATCAGCCGTTATATAAACAGCTGCTGTCAGGCATCCTGGATTGAAAGACACAGTTTGAATGTTTTCATGATCCTTTCATATTTCTTTTCTTTCTTTTTTTTTTTTTTTGGAGAGGTTTTCGCTACAGGGCGCATGTGCTCGCCAGACAGACAGAGAGAGACATAGAGACAGAAAGCGAGAAATCACCCCCCAGGGGGGATGGCCACGCCGCAATCCCTTCTCCTCCATTCTCCTCTCGGGATCTTGGGCACGCACGCACACGCGCCTGGCGTGAGTTTTAAGCCACCGGGTCCGGGACACGAACCGCGGTCGACTATGTGGGAGTCCAGCGACATAGCCATTACGCTAACTGCTGGTTCCCGATCCTTTCATATTTCTAAGAACAAGATGCTAATATAAGAATTCAATCATTCTTTGTATTTGATTTCTGACATGTAAAGTTACCATCAGTCCAAAAAGCATTAGAAAAGCCACATTTAAAAAAATACAAACTTCCAGGGACCAGCAAGTGGCATGGTGAAGGCGCTGGACACTCCCACATGGCTGATCACAGTTCAAGTCCTGAACCTGGTGGCTTGCTTTCTCACTTTCCTTCTCTCTCCTCTCTCTCTCTCTCTCTATGTGTCTGTGTGTGTCTGGTCAAATTAAAAGAAATGAATGAATAAATAAAATAAAATAAGTAATTATTAAAAAAATACAGACTTCTTGGACTAGCAGGTGGCATAATGGTTGAGGTACTGGACTCCCACATGGCCAACTGTGGTTTGAATCCTGGACCTGGACCTGGTGTCTTGCTTTCTCACTCCCCCCACCCCTTTGTTGAGTGCATGTGCCGTATAGCAAAAAAATTTTAAGAGATATTTTTTGCTATGGGGCGTGTGGGTTCACCAGAGAGACAGAAAGTGAGAAATCACCCCACGGCAGGGTATGGCCATGCCACAATCCCTTCTCCTTCATTCTCCGGTAGGGATTTTGGGCATGCACACACACACGCCTAGCATGAATTTAAGCCTTGAACTGCAGTGGGCTACATGGGAGTTCAGCAACATAAATGCCACACCATCTGCTGGTCACCTCCTATAGGAAATTTTAAAAACAAGGATAACAAATAAAATTAAATAAATAATTCTTTAAAATGCAAACTTCCTTTTAAAAATTGATTAGAAGATGTTATTCATATTGCAAAATGCTTAGGCAAACATTTAAATCAACATGAAGCGTGGTTCACATCAGAGCAATGAGTAGCCAAGCCAGAAATCTCTGAGCCCAGTTTCTAGAACTAGTAGGAAACAGAATTCTAGCCGCAACATCTGACTTGTCATTTGTCGTGTGCTGGTAACACCTGTGTGAACAACGGCTGGAAGTGGTCGGTTTGTCCGAAGCCTTACTTCTACAATCTATATAAAGCCTCTTTCTGAGGTTCAGTTAGACGATTAGGTTCCCAGAAGAGATCTATGATGACGATAATCATCCAACTGCTTAGCTAATTCTTCTCTCTAAACATACTGTTTAACTTGAAATTAAAGTTTTAGTATATGGGGCCAGCAGGTGACATGGTGGTTAAGGCACTGGAGTCCCACACAGCCTACCACAGTTCGAGTCCTGAACCTGGAAGCTTACTTTCTCTCTTTCCTTCTCTCTCTGATGAGCGCACATGCCCTATACCAAATTAAAAATAACAATAATGCTAAATAAAATTAAATAATTCTTAAAAAAAGTTTTAGTACCTTTATTTACATGTTAACATAGTGAAAATTTCAAAATGCTAATGAATGAATGCTAACCATATCCAACCTGGCTTCTCTCTAGCTGAGGCATTTTCAACATTCATTCCACATCCTGCCCACATGTTTAGTAAGCACCTCCTGCGGGTCACCCTGTGCTCGAAGACAGAGACACAGAGGCAAGACGTCCTTGCCTTCAGGAGCCCACAGCTTCAGGAGGAAGTGTAACCACTTAGCTTGGGTTTGTGCCCTAGGCCCTCAAACGAGTATTTACAATTTGGTGCTTCTTAGTCTTGGAGATGTTGGAATGATCGGACTGTGCCAATGAACTTTAACGACTGGGGTTATAACCTATGCAATTTCCAAATTGAACGACTAATGCTAACGTGAACTAGAGTAATATTCTGAGTGTTCTCCGTAATTTTTCTTTCTTTTTTAAAAAAGATTTATTTATTAATTTTATTTATTCATTCATTTATTTTAATTTGACCAGAGAGAGATACAGAGAAAGAGAGTGAGAAAGAGAGAAAGCAAACCACCAGGTCCAGGACTTGAACCTGGGTTGGCCATGTGGGAGTGTCTAGCACCTTAACCACCTTGCCACCTGCTGGTCCCTCTCATGATTTTTCTGTAACTTATAAATGAAATGCCAACTGAGGAGCTCATCCCATTTGGATGATGCAGAAGAATCTCAAAATTACCAGGTCCAAAGCTGAAAGTCCTCTTGTCTCTTCCTGACAAAGACCAGCTCTTCCCCTCAGGAGGGCCATCAAGTATTTATGGCTTACACCTGAAGTCATACTGGAACCCTCCCTCTCTCACAGCCACACCTAACGAATGACTGAGAGTTCTGTTCAAAAGCATCTCTTGAAGTCTCCACTTCTCTCAAACCCCAGTGCAGTTACACCACAGGGTTACCACGAGACTCCCTCATTGTTCCTCCCACCCCTCCACCCCCCCTCTCCACTTGCACCCCTTCTAGTCACTATACTGCTACCAGGATGATCTCTTAGAAACTGGAAAACAACAGGTGGCATGGTGGTCAAGGCACTGGACTCTCACATGGCTGACAGTGGTCCGAGTCCAGCAACATAACCGTTAAGCCACCTGCTGGTCCCACACCTGAAAATATTAACAGGTCATTTTGGTCCATTTGATAACGTAACTCTTCCTGCATCCTGTTCCTGGCATAGTATCCTTGCCATGGGTGAGTCACACCCACAAACATGAAGAGACCATTTTGACTCATTGATAACAGGACCCTTCCTACATCCTGTCCTTGGGACAGTATCCTGTGAGGTACACAAGCTCCCTCATTCTGTTACACACTCTTTGCTGATGCCTTCCCGAAACACAGACCTCCCTTTCCAATCGCCAACCTGAGAACTGTAAAACACACCTGTGGCCTACCAGCCCCACTTCCAGGTGTCCCACCTTTTTGGCTCAGACCAATGAAAAAAACTTTTCACTTTCCAAACCTTGTCTGTCACTCTCAGAATCAAATAAAAGGAACTCCTATACCTGATCACCCTGAGAAAAGCTATGTTTGTCTCTTCTCCAGGCCTAGGTCATACACACTTGTGCTTAGAAATAAACTGCATTAATTATTATTTCTGCAGAGTTGGTTATTTTCGTTGACATAATAAATAAAATAAATCGCAATTCTTTTTAAAAAATAATTTGCTATAGGGTGCATGCACTTGCCTGTTGAGAGACAGACAGAGAGGGAGAGAGAGAGAAAAAAAAATGAGAAAGCACCCCCTGGGGGCGATGAGCAAGCAATAATCCCTTCTCTATTCTCCTCTTGGGATTTTGGGTATGCACACACATGCACCTGGTGTTTTCCAAGACACTTTGACCCAGGACTTAAACCATGCAGTTGGCTATGCAGGATCCAGTCTCCCCAGCCATCGTGCCACCTGGCTGGCTTTCTCCTTTTCTGGGAGAGAGAAACAGGCTCTCTCAACTGGCCTGGATCATCGGGTGCACACGCACACAGGTCAACCTCAGATGGAACTGCACCCTTCCACGTGGCTCACACTGCAGAGCAGTGCCCTACCACCTGTGTGCACTGTGTTGGGCCTGGCATCTCCTTTTGCCTGTCGGTCTTCAGTGGCCATGAAACTCTTCCCGTGATGCACCGCATCCTCAGGAAGAGCATTCAGACCACTGGGAGTCGGAGTAGAGGGCCGAGCAGGCAAAGGCGTGTATCAGTTCTTGGCTTGCACTCTGTTGTCGCTATCTCCTCCTGAGTAAGTACTGAGACTACCCACTTTGGGTTTCTGCTTCTCTTTACCCTGGACCAGAATAGAAATGTCACTAGGACTAACTTCCGTCCACTATCGTGTCTAAACAATGTCCACCTTTCAGTGAGAAATAAGACACGAGGGCCACTCTTGCCACGTGGAAGAGCAAACTCGGAATAGCAACCACCATCTGTTTTCCAGTGCAACTATTGAAATAAATGACTTTACTAAATCAAGTTTCTCAGGAGCTTTCAAAGCGACTTTCGTTCTAAACCTCAAATTAATCAAGCAATTTGCTCCTTTGAAGATTTTAAACATTCAGATTTTAGACATGGTAATTCAGAGCTGCCTCACAGATGTTATGTTGACTGCGATGGGCTCATAATGACAGAGACAGACCACAGTGTGGCTGGAAAGTCAGCTTTAACCATTAACCCGATGACAGCTGAGGGATGCTGCCCAGCCAGAGAGCAGTGGGGATCTCCATCAGTCCCAGAGAAGATGGAAATTGTGGAATGAGTAACAGCCCGCTACGAGTTGGCAGCCGTATGACCGAGGTTTCATGTCCTCAGCAAGTTCTGAAAGTCTTACACTAAAGCCCCAAGGAAAGGCTGGGTCTGTACGATGCCAAAACAATCAGTTGAAAGGTTGAAATTTTGGTCAACGTAGTTATTTGGTTTCATAAAGCTCTGCAAACTCTTTCACATGATCACGTTAAACTAAAATGTAAAACTCTGCATTCAGGTTAAAACATTTTGAGTATATAGATACATATGAATTCAGGATGCTGCTCACACTTAAAGCATAATAACTTTTCTTGTTAAAAGCTGGCCTTCGAGCATTTCTGCCAAAATTATTAAATGTATGCCATAAAACATCCATAACCAAGTTAATGTTGCTGTAGGAACCTTATCTCTGGAATTTCCTGACAGCTGAGGGTTTCTCATTTTCCATTATAGGATGGAAGGCATGAGCCCTTGCATTTAATTTCCTGGGGCTTTAGAGAAATGAAGGAAGAGGGAGAGAAAAAAGGGGAGAGAGGGAGAAAGGAAGAAGGGGAGGAAAGAGGAGAAAGAAAAAAGAAGGAAAAATAGAGAAAAGAAAAGAAAATTTGCTTCAGCTGAGAATCTCAGTCCAATGGTGTGCCCTTGAAGAGGCAAACTAGCTGGCCTATGAAAATAAGCTGAGTACACTCTCCAAAGTGAACAATCTGGCCGTGTAACTCTAAACCCTCATAACCTCGAAAGCCTCAATCATTTCTTTCTTCAGCCTCGGCTTGGCTCTCCTGCCTCAGAGAGGGTGGTAAGTCTGCCAAATTCATGGTTGAGTTTTTTTTTTTTTTTTTAAGAGAGGACCACACAAAAAAAAACAAAAACAGCACATTTCATTTTGTAAGAGTAGAAAGTGAACATCTTGCCCTAATCACCTCCATTTTACTATTTTAAACAAAATGAAAAATCCAAAGCCAAAATTCCTAAAACACAGCTGATGCAACCATATTCAAACTGGCCAAGAAAAATTTCATCTTTGGACTGAAACTAAGTAACATTAGCTGGTTATAGAGAAAACGCTGGAAGACTGGAAAGTGCAGATGGTAGCTGAGAGAGAGGAGATAATGGGAATAACCGTTCACCAGGCTTTTCACTGCCCAAGTGATACAGTGAAAGACTCCCATGTCCCAGAAGTAACCCATACCTGGGAGAGTGGGGCCTCTTTAGAGGAGCCCAGGGAAAGGGGGCTCAGAAGGGCTGCTTGGGGGTTCTGGATAGGAGCAGAAATATCACAAGACTCTTACAGAATCTGGACTCTTAGGAACCTGGGCTTCGGCACTGGTTTGGGAAAAGATTTAGAATTGGAGACAGATTTAGGGCAGGCAGGAGGTGTGGTGGTTAAGGTGCTAAACTCCCACGTGGCTGACCGCAGTTTGAGTCCTGGAGATGGCGGCTTGCTTTCTCACTCTCCCTCTCTCTCTCTGGTCAAATTTAAAAATAATAATAAGAAGAAATTAAAATTAAATAATTATTTTTAAAAATTGGAGATAGATTAAAGTCTTCTCAGAATGTAGAACAGGAAGCCTCTAAATTTTTCTATAGACCTCACAGAACACTCCTGATAAAGATGGTGTGATCGAAGAAGCCAAGTGAAGACCAGTCTCACTTATGGAATACTGGGATAAAAATCTTAAATTTTTTATTCAAAAAAAAAATCTTGGGGGACCAGCAGATGGCGTAATAGCTACATCACTGGACTCCCATGTAGTTGACCGGCATGAGTTTAAGCCACTGGGTCCAGGACTAGAACTGTGATCGACTACATGGGATTCCAGTGACATACCATTGCGCCAACTGCTGGTTCCAGCAAAAACCTTTAAAAAAAAAAAAGGAAGGTGGTAACATTGAAAGTCCTTGATGGTGCCAGCAGGTGGTATAATGGTTAAAGTACTAGACTCCCACATGCCAAACAGGGTTTGAGTCCCAAACCTGGCGGCTTCCTTTCTCACTCTCTTTCTCTGTCTCTGGTGAGCACACATAGAAAATTAAAATAATAACACCATGATTTCATATTTTAAAGGACATAATTTATATATATAAATATATTCTATTTCTTTTTTTTTTTAAACTTTGCCAGAGGATACATGTGCTCATTAGAAGGAGACAGAGACAGAGAGGGAGAGACAGAGGGAGAAAGCACCCCCCGGTGGGGCACGGCCATGCTACGATTCCTTCTACTTCATCTGTCTCTCCTTTAGGGATTCTGGGCACACACACACACACACACACACTGAGTGCGGGACTTGAACAGTGAGTTCGGCCATGTGGGATCCAGCTGCCTTAATCACTATACCACAGGCTAGCCCAGGATAAAGCTTCAAAACTAGAACTGAAGGACTTGCAGGTGAATTGGATGAAGGCATGTGAGAAAGAAAGGACTAGGGCCAGCCTGTGGCCTAGTAGTTCAGGAAGTTGGATCCCACATGTCCAGCTGCACAGTTTGAGTCCTGGACCCAGCAACTTTGAGAAGCACGCCAAGTGCATGCATGTGCATGCATGCCTGAAATCCCTAAAGGAGAGAGCTGCGGCGGAGAAGGAATTGCAGCATGACCATGCCTATGGTGGGTATTTCTCCCTTCCTTCCTTCTCTGTCTCTCTGGCAAAATTTAAATTATGAAAATAAAAGAGAGAGAGGACTCAGAAGTGATGTCTAGGCTTTGGGCTCATGCAATTAAATGAAGGGTGAAGCCATTTAATAAGATGAGTTACCTTGACAGTTAGTGGTGACCTGGATTGAGAATTTAGGTTTGGGCTTGTTAAGATCCAACTATCAGACACCGAATGGAAATTCATGCAGGAGGTGACTGCACAAACCCATGGCTGGAAGAGGGCTGGGGCTGGAGATTTTCATGTGGGGATAGTAGGCAAATAACTGACTTTCATATATTTTTTAAGAATTATTTAATTTTTTCTTTTATTGGGGAGAAGTTTTTGTTTTGTTTTTGAGAGCTTTTTGCTATAGGGCACGTGTGCTCGCCAGAAAGACAGAGAAACAGAGAGACAGAAAGCGAGAAGTCACTCCCTGGGGGGGATGGTCATGCCGTAGGCCCTTCTCCTCCATTCTCCTCTTGGGATCTTGGGCACGCACGCACACATGCCCGGCGTGAGTTTAAGCCAGCGGGTCCAGGACTTGAACCACGGTCTACTACATGGGAGTCCAGTGACATAGCCATTAAGCTAACTGCTGGTCCCGGGAGAAGTTTTTGCTATAGGACGCGGGCGCTTGCCAGAAAGACAGAGATGGAGAGACAGAAAGCAAGAAATCAGCCCCCAGAGGGGACGGCCATGCTGCAATCCCTTCTCTTCCACTCTCCTCTCAGGATCTTGGGCACACATGCACACACGCCAAGTGTGAGTTTAAGCCACCGGGTCCAGGACTCGAACTGTGGTTGACTACATGGGAGTCCAGCGACATAGTCATTATGCCATCTGCTGGCATCTATTTATTTAATTTTCTTTATTCATTCATTTATTTTAATTTGACCAAAGAGAGAGAGAGAGAAAGAAAGCAAGCCACCAGGTCTGGAACTCGAACCACGTTTGGTCTTGTTGGAATGTCCAGCACCTTAACCACCACACCACCTGCTGGTCCCCATCACAACTGACACTTAAAGCCACAGAGCTGCATCTGAGTGTGGATGGAGAGAAGCCTCTGGTCCCAGTCAAGGCTGAGTGGTGGCAGGTAAGGAGGGTGTTATTCTGACATGTGGAGGAAGAGGAGGGTGGAACTGAGGAGCCAGTGAAGCAGGATTCCCAGGAAAGGGAGTGACCTAGGAGCCAAGTAAAGAGTCCTTAGAGACGGAGCAAGTCGAACAGCAGTTGTTCCTCTGATACAGGGAGGTCAATAAAGAAAAAGAATGGAGGGGACCAACTAATGGCCTAGCGATTACGTCGCTGGTCACCCAAATAGTCAATCACAGTTTGAGTCCGGGACCAAGGGACCAGGCACAGCATGTATGTATGCATGACCTAGATCCCAAGAGAAGAATGGCAAAGGGATTGTGGTGTGGCCACCCCCACAGGGGGTGATTTCTCACTTTCTGTCTCTGTCTCTGTTTCTCTGGCAAGTACATGCACCCTATAGCAAAGATCTCTCAAAAAAACTAACGGAGAAGTGGCAACTGGATTTCCCTTCTCCTCCATTTCTTCTTTTTTTTGGGGGGGAGAGGTTTTCACTATATTTTCACTATAGGGCGCGTGCGCTCGCCAGACAGACAGAGAGAGACATAGAGACAGAAAGCGAGAAATCACCCCCCAGGGGGGATGGTCATGCTGCAATCCCTTCTCCTCCATTCTCCTCTTGGGATCTTGGGCATGCATGCACACATGCCCGGCGTGAGTTTTAAGCCACCGGGTCCGGGACACGAACCACGGTCGACTACGTGGGAGTCCAGCGACATAGCCATTACACTAACTGCTGGTTCCCTCCTCCATTTCTTGATCCCATCAGGATATGGGGTACACACATACATGTGCCAGGCATGTTCTTCAAGCCACCAGGCTGGGATGCTAGCCACCGCCAGTCACTCAAGATCTGGCTGTTTACCAACTGTCCTAAGGGGCCTACAGCAAATACTCATTTTTTTTAAGAGAGGTTTTTGCTAAAGGGCATGTGTGCTCATCGGAGAGAGGGAGAGACAGACAGAAAGCAAGGGATGGCCACCCCCAATCCCTTCTCCTCCATCTCCTCTTGGGAGTTTACACACACGCGCCCAGCAGGAGTCCCAGCCAGGTGTGGAACCCGAACACGTCAGCTATGTGTGAGTCCAGAGACACGACATCACACCATGTGCCGGTCCCTGCAAATACTCCTTTGCAAGGACCCCGAACAAGCACAGCTGTCGCATTTCTGGATCCAGCAACAAACTACCTTAAGCTAGGAACACTCTTGAGTACAAGACCCATCAGTGCCATGGGACAAGCAACTGGGCTGAGAACGCAGTCACCGGGAGCGGCTGGCAGCACCTACCTGTGGTCAGCGCTGGGCTTCTGGGGGGAGGCAGAGAGGGGAGAGGAGGCAGGTTTCTTTTCTCTTTCCGGGAGCCCATTCCTGGGTTCCCGTCCTTGTCACCTTCTCCGGCATGTTTGAACGTTCTCCGGGGTTTCGGCAGGGGGTTGATGAAGGGCTTTGGGGAGCACCCTTCAGAGCCCCTGCACGCGCTCTCGGGGCTCTGGTCCCAGGGCCTGCCCCACGACCCTTTTCTTTCACCCACAGCCTCCAGGCTGGGCCCTCTGCCTTCCAGGTCCAAGTGGTGGAGCCTCCAGCTGGCGTCCGAGCCTCCCCTGCCTCTGTGGGTCTCAGTGGGGGCGGGCCCCTCCTCTGCCTTGTCAGGCAGGCAGTGAGGGGAGTAACACGTCCCTGGCAGTTGGGGATCCAGCCCTGCCGAGCCATCCTTCAAGGCCTGCTCCAGCCGCTTGACCTGCCTCAGCACGGACAGGCTGTCCTGAGGGCGCTGTGGACAGGGCCTGGGCTCTCGACCTCTGCCCCCGCGAGGTTCGGGTTCCATGGCTGTGGCTGTCGGGCGCGGCTCCAGCCTCCGCTCTGGGTCCTGCGGCCCGAAGTTCGCTTCCCCTACCTTGCTCTCCCTCTCTGAGCTCTCTGCTTCCACCTGCGTTCCGTCCTTAGCCTCGGTGACCCGAGTTTGCATCCCCCCGTCGCGACTTCTCCTCCTCTCCGGCACACAGGATGGCAGGGACTCCTCCTGGCCCTCGGCTCCCCTGACAGCTGCCGGCCTGGGCAACACCTTCTTCCCTTCCCATTCTGAGATCTTGTCCCTTATGCTGAGGGACTTGTGCCGCGCTCCAGCTCGGGCAGGTGGGCAGGGGGTCCGAGTGCCACCAAGCTGCTTCCTCCCGGCCCTGCCGGCTGCTTTGGCACCAAGACCGGCAGCTGGGTCACTGATGATCAGTTCTGGGCTGAACATGTCCACTCTGGACTCTAGCATGAGGTCTCTGAGGCTTCCCAAGGGGCTTCTTCCAAAGGGTGACTCTTGGTCAGTCTCTAGGCCAGGAGCGGACCGCAGAAATGGCTGCCTGCGAGGGCCTTCTGCAGCCCTTGGACCTTCGGCCCTGAAAACAAAGACAACACCAGATGAGGGGCTGTTCGCAGAGGCCTGCCAGTGCTCGGCTACAGATGTGATGTGCTGACTGTGGACCACAGACACTGCAACTATCACTTGGAAAAATCATTCTTGAAGAGCCAATGTGGTAAAATAAAAGGAGCTATCAGGCTTTTATTTATTTATTTTTAAAGAATTATTTTATGTACCTTTATTTATTTATTTTAATTTGACCAGAGAGGGACAGAGTGAGAGAGAGAGAGAGAGAGAGAGAACACAAGACGCCACTCAGCGATGTGGCCATGTGGGAGTCCAGGGTCTTTAACCACCACCTCACCTGCCAGTCCCTTATTTATTTATGTATTTATGTATTTTTTAGAGGTTTTTGCCTCAGGGCACATGCAGTTGCCAGGGAGAGAGACACAGACAAAGAGCGAGAGGGAAAGTGAGAAATTACCCCCCAAGGAGAATGGCGATGCTGTGTAATCAGGCTTTGGGGCCAATAAAACCCTAAATCAACCACTGACCGGCTTCGTGACCTGGGGCCACTTCACTAAGTCCTCCCAGCCTCGGTTTCCTCGTCTGTAAAATCAGGAGAATAACTCTCCAACAGGGCGGCTGTGAGCATGCGAAGGGCCAGCCCACGAAACGCAGCCAGCACGCTGTGTGTGCAGTCAACGGCGGCTTCCTTAGTAGCTTTCTTGGGTGAAAACGGGAATAATTTTATGAGGTAGAAGATCATATAATCTGGGCCAGCCAGTGGTGTGGTGGGTAGGGCAGCCAGATCCCACATGTCAACCTCATGGTTGGAGTCCTGGACCCAGCAGCTTGAAAAACAAACTGGTGACTGTCCAAAACCCTGAAATGAGGGAGAAATGGAAAAGGGATTGTGGTGTGACCATCCCACATGGGAGTGCTTTCTCACGCCCCGCCCTCCGGAGAGCACACATGCCTTCCAGCAAATTAAAAGAGAAAGAGAGAGAGAAAGAATAAGATTACGAAGTGCGAAAGTTCTCTGCTTGCTTTTGTCATCAGCGGGTGTTCTTTGCGATAACGATTTACAAACTAAACTGAAGACGTGCTAATCGCAGGTTTGATGAGCCTGGAGGAGTGGGAAGGCTTCGAGGACTCAGTGCATTTGAACGGAGTCTCCTCCGGACTGGCAGCCCCGCTTTGTTGTTCTGGCCTGCTTGGACACGGCTGCAACCCAAGCACCCAGAACCACGCCTGGCAGAGCAGGTGGTCGGCAAGTTTCTGTTGCCTGAACGAATGTGTGGACAAACAGGCAGATGCAGGTTTCCCACGTGACCTAGAAACGCCCTGTTCGTCACGCCACCATCCACATGCGACTATTTACACTTAAATCCAATTAAACTGAAGCCTCAGTTCCTCAGTGCACCAGCCACATGCCAAGTACGCTGAGCTCCATGAGACCACCGGCTACTGCACTGGACGGAGCAGGAGGGTATTTCCGACGCTGCAGAAAGTTCCAGCCTAGACCATATACGTGGGGCTCTAGGCCTCCAAAGGTGATTTTAGGTGATTAGTGAGTGCCATGAAAATGCCAAACATGACTGTGAAAGAGTAACATTTGGGGCCAGCAGTGATGGTGCAAGGGCAGCACAACACTCCCTGATACTGAACCCTCATGGGAAGGGCCTGGGTCCGCATCCTGAGGCATCCGTGTGCACACAGGACATGAGCAGACATGCACACGTCAGTGGTCCCGGCTGGCTGAGACTGGGAGTGGATTGCAGTGTGAAGATCCAACAGTGAGGGGGAGACCAGCAGATGGCGTAATGGCTACGTTGCTGGACTTCCACATAGTTGACCATGGTTCAAGTCCTGGACCAGGAAGCTTAAACTTGTGCCGGGTGCGTGTGCGTGCGTGCCCAAGATCCCAAGAGGAGAATGGAGGAGAAGAGATTGCGGTGTGGCCATCCCCCCCTGGGGGGGTGATTTCTCGCTTTCTGTCTCTCTCTCTCTCTGGTGAGCGCACGCACCCTATAGCAAAAACCTCTCCAAAAAATAAAAATTTAAAAAAAAAGATCCTACAGGGGTTGGGGGCTGTCTTTCTCACTTTTTCATGGAAGAAATAAAAAATAAAAAAGAAAAAAAGAAAAAAGAGGAAAAGAATTTCTAAGCTAGTCTACCAAGAGTGAGAGCATCGACATTTGAAATACAAAACATCCTTGCACCAGCAAAGGTTAGGACTGAGCAGTGACTTTGGACACACCAAGATTAGCAAAGGCATGTGGACCGAACTCATGACGCGTGTGTTCTGAGTACACAGACCTTGCTGTATGGATTAGGGTACACCCGTGAGGGATGAATAATGAGCAATTTCAGCACTGTTACTATGTAGCTTTCTATTCAAAGACTAACAGTTATTTAGAGTTATTTATTTATGTAGAGACTTCTTCCACAATTGGGAAACCAGCACATCAATTATGCTGCTGTTTTGGGTTGCACAGCATAAATGAGAAACTTGTGAAAATGCAAACACATTTTTTGCAAGCACATTTTCCTATATTCAATATGGCTATCAAAGCAGAATTCTTACTTAAATAAACATTACGACTCATAACAGAGTGCTTACAAAAGGGAAAAAATTATAATCATCCTGTCACTGCTGAGAACATCAACATGAATTCAGATTTTAGTCGAATTAGAGTCAGCCGGTTGCTATCTTCTGAGAGATTCAAAACGCAGAAGTCATGGTCCTTGCTCTCACAGTGCCAGTGGCAAAACGAAGAGAGGGGATGTGACAGTCCAGGCTGGGGCGCGCTTTATGACAACTGATCTAGTATAGCACCACTGGTGTCACATGTACTGGCAGGCGCTGTTGCACTGTGGGTAAATGCATGGGCTTTGGAGTCAACGGGACTTGGGTCTGAGTCCTGACTCCATATATATATATTTTTTAATCTTAAGAACCTTATTTCCCAGGAACCAGCAGTTAGCGTAATGGCTATGTCACTGAACTCCCACGTAGTCGACCGCGGTTCGTGTCCCGGACCCGGTGGCTTAAAACTCACGCCGGGCGCGTGTGCGTGCGTGCCCAAGATCCCGAGAGGAGAATGGAGGAGAAGGGATTGTGGCGTGACCATTCCCCCTGGGGGGTGATTTCTCGCTTTCTGTCTCTATGTCTCTCTCTGTCTGTCTGGCGAGCGCACGCGCCCTACAATGAAAATCTCTCAAAAAAAAAAAAAAAAAAGAACCTTATTTCCCTTCTTTAGACAGGAACCTTATGAGCACAGAGGCCAAATGAGTCTTCCTTACTCTAACTGGCCCAGTTAGTAAACGTCTGTTCTGTGAGTGACCGAACAGATGAGGAGATGTAACATGCCCAGAGCAGAAAGGCATGTTACACAGCTTGGTATCAATAAATGGTTAACTAGTGTGACTGTCATTGTTGTGATCTAAGGGCTCAGACACCTAGAGCGGCTCCCCATTCATGAGACCTGACCTGAGAACAGAAGACGAACCATGGTGCTGTGGCTCGAATGTGTCCCCAGAATTTGCATGTGTCCCCAGAATTTGCATGTGTTGGAAACGTCATTGCCATTAGAGCAGTATTAGAGGTGGGGCCTTGAAGAGGTGATGAGGTCTCCAGGGCTCTGTCCACATGAACGGATTAATAGAGTAGGCTCCTGATAGAGACGACTGAGTTTGACCCCTCCCTCTCATCTGCCTATCCACTGTCCTCCGCATTCCCAGCTCCACAACAGTGAGAAATACATTTATTTTCTCTCTATATTACCCAGTCTGTGGTAGTCTGTTACAGCAAGACCAAACAGACTAAGACAGATGTCTTGCTGGAAGACCACGCTGGATTCACAAAGCTGAAGTCAGAGGGGCAAGACTGGTCAGACTGTTCCTACTGTCCCCGGGACAGGGCGCCTTCTCCATGTAGCTGCTGTGCCCAAGAGTGTCCAGAATTCCTGTTTCCAGGACTCTTCTGTCCCAGGACAGGCCCTGGCCTGGGCTCAGAGCTATGAACAGCTCAGTGACTGCCAAATGCTTTGGCGAATGTGAGAGTTATCGGGGTGAGGCTCCATCTGAGGAGAAGGAAACACCCCGCTAACACACAATGGAAAAGCTGACTGTGCGGGCAGATATAGCTGCGAAGATTCTGGGCTCAAAGATGATGGGAACACCTGCACATCCCAGAGGTGAGAAAAACCAACCCTGGACTGGAATGCAGACTGAGGACACAGCCTGCCATCCCCGTGGGTGGGCTGACCCTAACCCGAACCCTAACCCTCTCAGCACACCGAGCACTAGGGAGACCTTCCCTGGAGCACTTGTGGTGCATGGAGGTGATTTACAGGAGGCTCATTAGAATGACCTGGAAATGAACAGATCTGTAACTCAAGGAAGTGAGCGAGACCAGTGAGGAAGGAAGGCAGTGAAGAAAGGAAGGAGACAAAGAAGTGTGGCCACTTCTACACCCTGGGGAGGAAAGCTCTTACTTGTCAGCCAGTCTGGAGCTCAGGTTTGTAGTCTGGCTGTGGCTGCCCTCGGCCGGCCTGCATACTGTCATCATGTCAGCATCGACAGGAGCTCCAGGTCTCCTGGGGGGAACAAGGAGCAAGCCCAGTGAGCCACGATGGTGAGCCTCCCTCGGAAGGAGCAGATCAGGCCACAGCCCAACTCCTTGTCCCTGACGTAGCCCACCCAGGAACGGGAGCCAGCGAAAACGCATGTCCAGTACCCCCAACTCAGGAGGAGACGAGAACACAACCCTGACCTCCACCCAGATGCAGGCCCCATGCTGACCTCCTTGTATGTGTATTTTAGCTAAGGCTACCAAAATTTGAACAAACCCTCTAACCTTAGAAAGCATAAATAACAACACAGCCTGGTGCTTTTTCAGGGAGAACAACTGTGATGAGTGAACAATCACCAAAGAAGACAACAGCTGGTCCCTAATGATAAGACAGCAGGCAGCCACTACGCAGAAGGAGCCCCACCGCGGTGCCCTCTCCTTCCTCTGGCCCTGATGGCGGTGCACACCCACGCTGGCCTGGACGGCAGAGCCCCACACAGACAGCCTCCCTCCAAACTGAGCAGGGGGAGCCACCTGGTCAGTGGGCCACCCATTCGGTCTGGGGAAAACGAGGAGGTTGTCCTGGCAACCCCAAGAACACACTGAGTTCTTTACACCTGTAAAAAGACAGTGTGGACACCCAGCAGGCAGCCTCAACTCGGAAGTGGCGGTTTACAATTCTCCAGTGTCCGACATCCAGTGACCTGCAGTAACGGATTAACACATAGGATCTCAATGGCAAGTCCCTAGAGAACGCAGTGGGAGGGGCAGTGTCTCCCAACACAAGCACAAATAGACCTTGCCCAGGTGGCGATGGCTAGGCAGTGTCACCCATGGTAGAGTGCCATCAACCTGGGTCATGCAATTCCTCTGTAAAGCACGAACACCCTAAGAACAGGAGGTCTCCTGAGCTAAGATTCAAGGATACGGAGATATTGGGGCTTCACTTTCTTCTCCACGCAACCTCCAGAAAACCCCTCTCCCAACTCCTTCTCAAGTCTTTAGTATTATTCCTGCCCACTTTCTCAGGATAGTTGACCGTCAGGTGCCAGGGCGGCTGTCCCATGTCCTGGCCTGGGGACCTCTGCCTATGACAGGGGCCTGCTTCAGCCAGACTGACTCCATTTTGTTAAACCAAAATTGTTCTTCTCTTGGCCTGATACTCTCTGAGATCTCTCACAGGAACTCCAAAGAGACAAACAGTCAACCTGAAGCTTGAAAGAGTGACAGCCATTCTGGCCTAGGGAACTGACATGCCTGGCTCCAGGATCAGCCGCTTGATTAGAGCCCCCCCACTAACAATAACCTGGTCATGCTTTTGTACAGGTAGCCATGGGCCCAGTAAAGTCCTTCTTTCCCCGTAAATGCATCCATAAACTGCCTGAAGAGTCGAAGTACGCTTCCATGACTTCCTGGTGAGGCCACACTGTAGTAAATTCCTTTCCTCTCTCCAGCAACTTCCCCTCTGTGTGTTCCATTCGGCAGTGAAAGGTCAGACCTGCTTTGGGTCTGTGGACCAGGGCATTGGGCCCCTGGCTCAAGATAGATGTCCCTCCACTCCCCAAGAAGTCAGGGCTGGGCTTTGGAACCCACACGTAACTCTTAGGAACAAGGAGGAAGGCAGAGAGAGAGAAAAGGAGAGTGAACTAATCAGAGAGAGGGAGGCTAGGGACCTGTGAGCTGACAAAACAAGGAAGGAGCATGCTTCTGGGGAGGGTAGAGAGAGCTCTGGCTGCCGGGGAGCTCCGCTGTCCCCTGACACAGAGATAGGCTTCACTTCTGGAGGTAGATATGTGTTGTAGCCAAGCCCAGTTCTTTCCAGAAGCCAAGCCTCAGGGCTCGCCCATCCCATTATGGAGGAGAGCCTGAAAGGCCTTTGTGGGACAGGAAGGAACTCATTGTCCCTCTCATAATGCTCTGCAAAGCTGAAAGCTTCTGGAGCCTCTCCATCTGGCCGGGCCCACGGACACTGCTCTTCTGTCCTGCATCTGGCAGAGAGCCCTATCGGACTGCATGGAGAGAGGCCACTCCCTCCCCCACCCCAGCCTGCCTCAGAGCAAACCCACAAGCACCCCCTTGCTCCCTGTCAGCCAGCAGCAGTTCCCACCACTTTCCCACCGAGCTGGTGTCCTCTTACAAGCGCACTGAGACTAGGCACCAGGCCATGTACAGGGTGCTCTGGAGGATGCAAGTATGACAGTCTCTGTCCTCAGGGCGAGCACCAGCCCCGTAACTCGCTCTCCCTACAAAAGAATGGTTTCCCAATACCTCCCAGGAAGCGCAGATTTCCTAACAACAAAGCCCTCTGGGTCTAACGCATAGAGAGCCACGAACAGACTCTGAGGTTAAAGATCACAAGCACCAGGGCTGGCAGGTGGCATGGTGGTTAAGGCGCTGGACTCCCACGTGGCTGACTGCTGCTTGATTCTCAGACCTGGCGGTTTGCTTTCTCACTTCTACATTCTCTCTCTTGTCAAATAAAATAATAATAAGAGGGGTCGGCAGGTGGCATGGTGGTTAAGGATCCTGGACTCTCACATGGTCGATAGTGGTTCAAGTCCCGGACCTGGCAGCTTGCTTTCTAATTTTCCCTCTCTCTCTCTCGCTCTGTCCTTTTCTGGTCAAATTAAAATAAATAAAGTTAAATGAAATAATTCTTTATAAAATAATAACAATAGTCACAGTAATAAATAAATGAGTAAGTGTGATCGGAAACAGCACTTGAACATGGCGCTGCTGACTCCCTTCCCATCGGGTAGTACTAACTCGCAGTCCCTTCCAGAGAAACAGCTGCTGCCATATTCTAGGAAGCAAGCTGGCGTGAGCTTCTGAGGCTACAATGGAGGGGCCACAAAGCCCCCTGCACACCCAACTATCAGTCTACTGGTGCTTCTTTCTTTCCTTTTTTAATTGCCAAAGGATGCACTCACCAGAGAGAGACAGAGAGACAGAGGGACTGAGAGAAGGCACTTGTCAATGGGTCCACAGTCCCTTCTCCACCCCTCTTCTATCCCATCAGGATCTGGGGCATGCATACACACATATGGCAAGCCCCCAGGGCCAGGATTTGAACCACAGTGAGTCATATGGAATCCAGCTCCCTTAACCAGGAGGCAACAGGGCTGACCTTATCATCGTTTTGAGATAGGAACTAAAATGAGATCGTGGTGATAGCTGTCCAACCTAGTGACGACCCTTAAAACCACTGAATTGTAACTTTAAAGTGGTTAGTTTTATCTAAGTCTCAAAATATAGATTACAAGTATACTCTCTTTAAAAAAGAAGAAATCTGGGCTGGGGAAGCGGTAGAATGAGGAATAAAACTCACACAATTATAACTTCCCATTCCTGTTTACTGCTCTGAAGTTAACTCTAAAGTACAAATAAATATGTATTATATATAACTTAATTCAAAAATGTCATACTTGATATACTAAATTTAAAAACACGGTTTAGATCATAAATGATCACATACTAATAAAATGAAATTTTAAATAGTTTCTGTGCTGCAAATAAAACTACAAGCTGTTCAGTTTTAATGTTTCTGGTTTCTCTGCTTATCAGTTTTATATAAAGAGCCAGCAAAAAACAGAGAAAAAAAATCATAGTAATTATAGTAAAACAAAAATAGCTGTTTTCTCAATGAGCATTCTTCTTTGTGAGCATCTCTAGAACACATTCATTTCCAAAAACTGTTGAGGAAGAAAGCAAAAAAGCACACAGTGACATAACACAACTCCTGCTATATCTAACTGCGTAATGAAGTTCATTCCTGAGCCCCAAATCCCAGGAGAATGGAGCAGAGGAATTGTGGCATGGCCACCTCTCCCCAACCCCCAGGAAGTGAGTTCTCACTTTCTCTCTCTCTCTGTCTGTCTCTCTCAAGTGAGCGCATGTGCCATATGGCAAAAATCTAAAAAAAAAAAAAAGTAAATCTTAAAAAATGCAAATTATATCTTAATTAAGCTTTTTTTTTTTTTTTTTAAAGGAGTAAGCAGGAACAATTACTAAATGTAGGTATTCTGGCCCCATCCCAGACCAAGTGAATCAGACAGCCAGAACAGGATCTAAGAATTAGCAGTTATAACTCCCTAGGGACTTTGCAGGCACAGCTGAACCATGGGTTTATTTTCAGGCTTCTTGCAGTGTCAGTCAGCAACAAAAATACGTGCAATGCTCTACTTCCCCCTCCTTTGGAGAGCAGCCTTTTTTATTTTTAAATTTTAAAATTTATTTATTTATGGGGCTGGCAGGTGGCATGGTGGCTAAGAGCACTGGACTCCCACGTAGCCAACCCTGGTTTGAGTCCCAGACCTGACAGCTTTCTCTCTCTCTCTCTCTCTCTATCCCTCTCTGGTCAAATCAAAATAAGTAAATAAATAAATAAACAAAATAATTTTTACATTTTATTTATTTAATTTTATTTATTATTATTTTTTTAATTTGCTATAAGGCATGTGGGATCATCAGAGAGAGACAAAAGAAAGAGAGAGAAAGGCAGGGAAAGTGAGAAAGCAAGCCACAGGTCCAGGACTTGAACTGTGGTCAACCATGTAGGAGTCTAGTGCCTTAACTACCACGTTGTCTGCTGGCCCCAGGAAAGCAGCCTTTCACTACAGCGTCTGTTTTCTCCTATTTCAGAGCATCTTGGGAATCTGATGCTGGTGTTTTCAGTACAAAGCCTGGCGCTCCTCTCCCTTGAGCCCAGAAGTAAAAACTAAGATGCTGATTCTTCCCCACAGGGCTTCCGTATCAAGGCTCCTTTTCACTCCAGAGGAGGCCTCAAGGCCAAGAACATAATCTGAGTAATTCTAAGACTTTGTGGACCAGATCTGTAGCACTGGGGTGCAGCTCTGCTCTAGAGAAGCCGGATCTCATATGGCAACTGTGGTTTGGGTCTCTGGCTGGGTCAGCCTGGAATGTGCTGGGTTTGTATGTGAGGGCTCAAGATCTGACAAGCTGGAGGACTAGAAGGGGATTGTGGCATGGCAGAGCCTGTGGAGGGTACTCTTCCTTCTCT